GTTTGATTAATTCCTCTTAGTAACTAATCAACTAATAGAAAATTTCAAGATGAACAAGATCACCATCATATTACGCACGTTTTGTCTGCATGATTTCATGCTGGTGGTGTTTCATTCGTTCTGACGGATTGGTTATCAGAACAGCCGTTTTTTTCATTACAAGACAAGCAACTAATTTTTGATTAGTGGACGGGTCTTACTCACATCACTCATTTTCAGTTTTTTGGAGTCATCACCCCCACATCATTTCATTAATATAATTTTATATATATTTTGGTATACACAATTGTACACATTGAAATTTTAAATCATGGGGTGTTTTTCAGTAGGGGCCCTGTGTGTGTGAGGTATTTTGGTGTTTGTAGGAGCGGATGGTGAATGAGTAAATTGTAATGAATGAATGGGCTGTGAATCTAGCTCTAGGATAGTTGGTGTCGACCAACCTTAATCCATCTCACTTCTTTTCTCGGCCTTGTGCCACAATTACTGATTTCACTCAGTAATAAAGCAAAGTTTGTACAAAGACTTATAATTTTTGTAGTTTTTTGTAGATTTATATATTTTTATACCTGAAAATTTAAAAAAAATATAAGTTGAAGAAGACAGACATTCTGTTGAAATATTGTTAAACACTGATTTTTAAAAAAAATTTTTTTCTTTTCTTAAATCGTGATCTTCTCTTAAATGGTGTAATAATAATAATAATAATAATAATAATAATAATAATAATAGCAGCAGTATCTGCCGAATATAAAATTCGGCATGACTAGATGGGCCAATATTTCCACTGGAAAATCTGCAACTTTTACGGGAAGGAAACTGCATGGAGTTGGTATGAATACAACCCAGTCCCGGTTACAGACATACAGCCTGTAACAATTTTATGGGACTTTACAATACACAGAGACACAGAACAATCAAAGAAAATCGCCCAGACATCAAAGACCACAAACACAGAATGTGCTTCCTTATTGACATGACATTTCATGCAGACTGCAATGTATCTTTGAAGAACTAATTGAGAAAACTCTCAAAATACAAGGATCTTTAAGTGGAAATCTAAAAATGTGTCACAGGAGGACATCAATAATACCAGTTTTGGTTGGAGCCCTTGGTTTGATTGAAAAAGATAATTGTAGACTCATTGAAGTGATTCCTGATAGCCCATGCAAAAAAAAATGTTCTCACAAATATAGCTCACACCTTACGAAGGGCTTTATCTATGCAAAATGTGTTGTAATCAAAGGTTGTTTTATTTTTATTTTTATTATTTTTATAAAAGTTACTCAGTGAAAAATGTTATGATGCCATTTCTGACTTCAGTTCTCTGGTTGGGATTCGGTCGGAAATGAGTATACAACAGAAATCAAAGTAAATAAAATAATAATAATAATAATCATCGACGTATAAAGACCTGGAAATCGAAATAGAAAAAAAAATGTGGAAATTGAAGACAAGAATAGTACTAGTCATAGTAGGTGCGCTTGGAATGATAAAAAAAGGAACAGAACAACACATTGAAAAAATCCCTGGAAATCCCAGCATAAGAGAAATACAAAAAATTGTCTAGATAAGTACAGCTCACATACTAAGAAGAACTTTATTCATTTAACGCTAGTGATGTTATGGAAGTTAGAAAAACAATTCATGAAATGTAACCATAACAACACATCACTACCTGCCTTAGGTCTTCCTGCAAAATTGGTAGTTAGTGTGACTATAGCAGAAATCGAAATATAATAATAATAATAATAATAATAATAATAATAATAATGAAGTGCAGACAATTCGGCTCCAACGATGTAAACAAATGGTTTCAGTAGGAACGAAAATAAAAGGTATCAGATACTCTAAAACTTTGAGATCCAGATTGCGCCCCCTCCGCCCAATCCAAGCGGAAAGACAAAAGAAAAAAATCAGAACCTCCAGATCGTATATACTGGTTTTCTAAGCGTAGCTTAGATGTAGCGCAAGGCCCAAAAGTATGGGGGCCCCCAGTGAGGATAGAACTCACTATTCAGCTACTTCCAGATCGTAGATATAGGTATATCAACAGACCATAGGGTGAAACAAAAAAAAAAAACGAACAATCGGAAAAAAGAAAACGGTAGAAAGTAAATATTATGGCTGTGTCTGTAATATTTGTCACTTAATGAAATCGTGTCTGAAAGCCCTGAATCAATATTAAATGAATTAAAAAGTAACATTACCGAATTCGTATACTAGTCGACCTAGTTCCATTAACTTATGAGGAAATACCGTAAGGGAAGTTATGAATCCATCTCTCCGGTCCCCTCTAGCTATGGGTTAAATAGTTGGAATTTTTAGCCTTGATTAGCAAGCAGTCGAGATCACATGATTCAAAACCCGAAGAGAGTCGTTTAAAGACCTGCACTAGTGTTCTACATCTCATTCTTCCAATAAATGTGGTTGGTTTTGCACAAACCTTCACCATTATAATCAAATCATATGTGCTGGTCGTCTGGCTATCCGGTTCAAAGTACTGCACATATGAACCCTCATACGTCAAAGACGAACGGAGAACCTATCAATAATAATAATAATAAGGATAATAATAATCTAGGTATGGGATTTCTCCGTTTAGACTTATGTTATTGAAACATTAAGACCTGACCCTATTGTGACAGTTAAGGAAGGTAGCAAGTGTCAAATTATTGATTTTGCTGCTGCATATGATACAAAGATGAACTCCAAAGGATCGAAAAAAATGTCAGGATCTGACTAGAGAGTCGAAGAAGCATTGGAACATGACCGTTGAAATAATTCCTGTAGTAGTGGGTACGTTTGGTACACGGTCTGGGAGCTTAGGAAAAATTGAATTTAAGACCAAAATTGTGGACTTCCAGCAAACTGCCATCGTTTACTCCACGAGTATTCTCCGAAAAGTTGTGAAAAGTCAGGGTGACATTACTTAAGAACAGAATTTCCATAGATTACGTCAATGTATGACATTAACATAATAATAATAATAATAATAATAATAATTTTTGTTGGTCTCAGAAGACTTGGAAGCATGTCACCTTGAATAATGTTCAATCAAAGAAAGAACTCTGCCTATATTTCTGAGATGAGGTATTGTAACTATTTGCAGTTAACTATTTACATTTTCGGACTGTTGTCTGCATCTTTATTGCCACATTCACGACGTTTCGGCCGTTGAAATTTCGAACCAAACCGAGGGGAGATTGTTCTGATTCCACGTGCCATGCCTGTGGATATCTCAATTCCAGTTAATTCCCTTTCATAACTCAACATTTCAAATTCTTGTCCCCTCTGTTGTGGCCAGGGATTGAACTCACAACTCTGGGTTGAGTCACTTTTAGGCTTCCTCAAACAACGCTTTTATCCACTGTGCCACGAGTCCTTGGATTAGACCAAGGGTTCGGTTCTAAATTTCAACTAATATCACCTGAAGAAGGCCGGAACGTACAACAGCCGAAACGTCGTGAATATGGCAATAAAGATGCGGACAACAATCAGAACAATATAAATAGAGCAAAGAAAGAAAGGGAATCATAAAAATAAAAAAGGTTTCTGTACATTTTAGATGATTCCTTACAAAATTATCTCGGAATTTAATAAGAGGTTGTTTAAAACTGATTAAATTCTATATTATTTGCCTTTAACTTCGATTATAAATGGGATTTAAAGCATTAACAAAATTAGATTAGGATGAACTCAACAAACACGATCAATTGATTATTAAATGAGTCTTGGCTTCCAAATATTTCACAATTAATAAAGTAAACATTCGCAAGGATTATCAAACTAAGTAATTAGATATTAGTCATTTGATATCTGTCTGTCTGTCTATCTATCTATCTATCTATCTATCTATCTATCTATCTCAGTCTATTTATATGAGTAAAAGTGCTCAATAACAGAGATAGAGCGTATGCAAATATAAAAGTGGATACTGTAGACAAAACCGAGCGGTTTCATGCTTAAATGCAATCTTCAGCCAATTAAAATTATATATATATATATTTCGTTACCTCCCGGTAGCACAACTCTGGTGCAATCGTGAGGTGTTGAATGAAATCCGCACCTGACGGTTACATCGTGCATCGTGCATGAAACTTAGAGTTGTCCTAACGGGGATCAGCTAAATGTATATTTATCAGTAGTATACATTTTAGCTCAGTTATTATGCACTATTTCATCATTTTATATCTCACACACACACACACACACACACACACACACACACACACACACACACACACACACACACACATATATATATATATATATATATATATATATATATATATATATATATATACGTGTGTTTGTGAAGGGGGATCAGTAAGTTCATAGACACAAACTAGATCTAAGACTAATTTAAATTTTAAACTTTCACAATATACTGGTGATCTTGGAGGTTAGCAAAAAAGGGTGGTTATGTGTAAAGAATAAGATTATGTTGGAAAATAAAATAAATACTTCGAACGGCAAAAATATCAAAAGATTAAATTTTTTTTTAAAGTATTATCACATCAAAGCAACATAATCTGTTATGATTAACAATGATTTTCTTCATGTTCAATACAATGTTGATTTCTATCAGTAACACCAACACTTTGACAAAACATTTGATACATTTCCGGTTAATTTCAGAAAAAAATATCAGAAATTGCTTATAATTCAGGAATTGGTTTCAGTTTGAGCCTGTAAAGATCTTTCAGTCGATCCCAAAAGAAAAAAGCTTGGTGACGTTAGGTGATCGTGATGACCATTCAATTGCTCCACGCCGTCCTATCGACCCCAGCTCAAAAAAAAAAAAAAATGTCGGTGCCGAGATTATGAAGACGAAATCAATTATAATGAGATTCGAACCCGGACCAGAATGCCACAGGTTCATTATATTACAAAAATATATAGAGAATTTAATATCGTATACACTATATATAGAATTTAATATCACATACACATGTGTAGAAATAATGAGAGTGAATCAATCACCTGCAGGTATTAGTCTAGGCGTGACACGGCGGGGTGAGGTCTGTGGGATGAGGCAAATAATAAAGCAAATGAATTTTCAGTGAACCGCTAAACAAGAAAACACTGAAAGTATAAAAATACATTATCGTAAAAACGCATGGAATTGCGTTCAAAATATATTTAGTTGAAGCCACAAAATTGTGTTCAAAATATTTAAATTTCAACATTAAATAACCCATAGAGATGTTGATATACCGCTAAAAAAGTCAACCAACCAACATTCTCCTTTCTTCTTATGTATCCTTTCTTTTTCTCACTAAAATCAGTTTCTTTCATATCTTTTCTTTCGTCTTTTCTCGCAGTTAAAATGGAATGGTCCATTATTTACCTGAGGTAATGACAGCGCGTAACGCACGTGCTAACTTATTAACCAACGAAGGAACAAGCAGAATGGTATTTTACTATTGTTCCTTTTTATTCATATGGTTCGTTTTTTTTATAATCAACGACCGTTAAGTAGCACAGACAAGGAAAAAAAAAAGAATTAGTTTTCTTATAAGATCTAAAATTTCAGCTTTACGCTTGGAAGTCTTGTCTTACTGGAACCAGTACGTTACCGATCAAACTACAAAAGATCCACTAGCAGGTGCCATTCAAATTTGGTCATATAGACTTCTTTATCCGATCTCATTTCTACGCCATATTGTTTGTTTACATATTTTAGGAAAATCGATATCAAAGTGGAAAATTTTTTTCGTGCGGCTCGTTTCGTTCTTTTGGACTTCCTCTGATTGTCAGTAAAGTTGTGTTTACGTTGATGTGATTACACATACAAATATATATCGTTTCCCCCAATACATTTAGTAATATTATTATTTTTTAATGACATTTTCCATCACAACGTAGGTTATCCTGAATTTCTAACGATGTCTTTTTTTTTATTTATGGATTGCCATGAACTTTTAGGAAATATAGTGATTTCTTATTTCTTTCTCCATTGAAATTAAAAGTTTTCGTTCTCTTAGATTGGTTCCCATCAATCTATCCTGTTACTTAATCTATAACCAAATGGAAACGAAACTGGTTCATGCCCTTTGCAAGGACATTTGTGCGAAAGTGAATGAAACAGATATATTTGAATATGATCCGCCGATTGACCCGCCGACAAACCTGCCGATTGACCCACCAATAGACCGGCCGATAGACGCTCCGATTGACCTGCCAATAGACCCGTCATCTGACCGGTCGATAGACCGGCTGATTGACCTGCCGATAGACCGGCCGATTGACCCGCCGATAGACTCGCTGATTGACCGGGCGATTGACCCGCCGATTGATTGACCGGCCGATAGACCGGCCGATTGACCCGCCGATAGATCCGCCGTTTGACCCGCCGATTGATTGACCGGCCGATAGACCGGGCGATTGACCCGCCGATAGACCCGCCGATTTACCAAGGATGCATTCCAAATTCTAGGCAGAGTATTGAGAGACAGGAGAAATTCGTTGTCGTTTGTCCTGAATTGTTACGTGATATCTGTCTTCCTGTATAGCAGCAAATGCTGGACAATATCCTCAAAGATGAAGAAGAGACTCAAAGCAACATAAATATAGTTCTACAGAAAGATGCTGAGGATACCGTGGACGTACGCGACAACGAGGTTTTGGAGAGAATGGAAACTAAAAGAAAACATCAGGAAAAGACAGTTGAAATTTCTGAGACGCGTAATGAGGAAGGAGGGCTTGGAAAATATGATACTCACAGGGCAGATTGAGGGAAAGAACAAAGGAAAGCAGCGAGTAACATACATGATGGGCTTGAGAAAATGGATGGTAGAAAAGGGTTTTGGAGAAATAACAAAAAGACAAAACTTATTAAGAGCTACAAAGGACAGGAAAAGGTGACGGGCTATAATCGCTTACGTCCTGAAGGGACACGGCACATAAAAGAAGATTCCCCTATAGGCGCCGACATGCGTCACACTGATCGTACATTCCTTATGTAGCAATATTAGTAGTAGACGTAATAGTCTTAAACTGTATAAATGAAACTCGGAGATTTTAAAAGTAGAATTAAGTAGATTGACTTAAATATCATATATGGCTTTCGGACATGTGACTTCCTATACACAAAGAGGCGCGAGAAAGTGATGGATATAGAAGAGGAAAAAGATAAGAAAACAAGGGAGATAATGAGAACTCGAGTATAAGTATAAAAAAGAGAGAGAGAGAGAGAGAGAGAGAGAGAGAGAGAGAGAGAAAGAGAGAGAGAGAGAGAGAGAGGGCGAACGGTTTTCTTCAAGGAGAAAATTCTTCTCAGTCTTTTGCGCATATGGAGAATCTTAGCTCCGCCTACCACCCGAATGTCAAATTCGAAGCTAACTCCACCCACTCGCTGTAAAGAGAAGCCGTAACTACCCCCTCCCGTCAGAGAAAGCTAATAGAGAAAAGAAATTGAGGAACAAGGAGCTTCAAGAATATGGCCAGAGAAAGAAAAGGGAAAAAGAAATAATTTATTTAGTTTGTGTTGTTTTACAGCATATCAACCTCAATGGGTTATTTAATGCCGACAAATTTTTTTTTACTGGTAATATTTTTAAAAAAAAATATATTGCTGGCAATATTTTTTCTTCAAAAATGCATTGCTGGTAATATTTTTTTTTAAATGTATTGTTGTTAATAATGTATTACTAGTAATAATTACTTCTTCAAAAATTCATGGCTGGTAATAATTTTTTACAAAAAAGGATTGCTGGTATTAAAACCTATTTTTACACTTTCGTAGTGTTTTTACCCGAGTTTAGGGTTAACAATTTTCCCATAGCTGGAAACCTAACAGGTGCTACCACCCCGGGTCAGGGTGAATAGAGATGTACCTTCATTTTAAGAATTGATATATATATATATATATATATATATATAATTATACAATAGATATATATTCTATATATGCATAATTACATATATATATATATATTATATATATTTATAATATATATATATATATATATATATATATATATATATATATATATATATATAGTTTATAATTATCTGCAAAGGGTTTATTACGACGTAGAAAACAAATCAGTTAATCAATATATATATATATATATATATATATATATATATATATATATATATATATATTATGTCTGAATCATAATTGTATATATATATATAAACACAATTATATATATGTAATTCTGTTAATATATATATTGATATAACTATGTTTATAACATATAATTATATATATATATAATTATGATTCTGTTAATATATATATAATTGTAACGTTTTATAATATATATATATATATATATATATATATATATATATATATATATATATATCCTACTTATAAGATTCATTATATTATAAAGTGTATATGGTAATTATTAATAGTTATTTGCCTTAAAATCATAGAAACGCCAGTAATTTTTCTTCATATTGTCAATGAAATTTCTTTCTCCTGTTTGCTGTTGTTGTTGTTATTATTATTATTATTATTATTATTATTATTATTATTATTATTATAAATTTCTCTTTTGAAAACAGGCCGATTGGTGATATCAAAGTGTTCGCCGGCAACAGATCCGGGTAGGGACTATGACATTAACTGCAACAGCATTCACTCAAGGATCGGTAAGTTGTCCTATGCAGAAGAATTTATAGTGTATATTCCATTGAATTCTAGTGACCAATTTTGTATGTTTCATCTTTTTAATTGTATTTTATCAATTTATTTATCTAAAACTTTGTTATACATCCGGATCACTATATTTGATAATCTATCTATCTATCTATCTATCTATCTATCTATCTATCTATCTATCTATCTAATGTTCCTTCCTTCCTTCCTATCTATCTATCTATCTATCTATCTATCTATCTATCTATCTATCTATCTATCTAATGTTCCTTCCTATCTATCTATCTATCTATCTATCTATCTATCTATCTATCTATCTATCTATCTATCTATCTAATGTTCCTTCCTATCTATCTATCTATCTATCTATCTATCTATCTATCTATCTATCTATCTATCTAATGTTCCTTCCTATCTATCTATCTATCTATCTATCTATGTCAGTTCATTATCTATCCATCTATTTATCTATCTATGGGTTTACAAATGTTTACGGATATATGTCTATATTTACGAGGGTTGATCAATAAGTCCATAACACGATTCAGGTATGAATTTTCACACAAATTCATCCAGTCGGTTATACTTTCCGCTTGTAAGTGTTAAATTCTCTTTGTCTTCTTTTCTTATTATGTGTCCCCGAAATTTAAACTCTCTTTTTGTTGGCAATTCTCCTTGTTGTTTTCATTTTCCTTCAAACTCCCTCACTGACCACATGCTTTGACCATGATACTATCAGAATTCATAAGTAGAACATTAGTACTATTTGAATGTCAATTTCGAAACCAATCGTCACCCTGTAAAGAAAATCTACGATTCTCGAGAGCAGTTTTTTTCCAAACGTGGGCGCTAACGCTCCCTTGTGGATGCTATTATCTTGAAAGGGGGCAACTGGGTTTTTTTTTATTACATTTGGTGGGCGGTGAACATACTCAGGCGCGTAGTGGGTATCCATTGTTTTTTCAAATTTTCAAAAATTATTCAATATTGGTTACAAAAGGAAATTTCCAAAAAGGTATCTAAAGCTGTGGGAAGCTATCAAACTTTTCTTCATTGCATTTCCAACTTCCAAAATGGCTGAATGTGGTTTCAACGTAGTTACACAGCTTACTAAACAAAGAAACCGCCTAAAAATTACAAAACGAGATCTCCGTTTACTTCGAAGCAGCATAGAAACTAAAGGACGAGCCTCAGCCAGTCAAAGTCAATCATGGCATTGGAAACATTGAGATAATATATCAAATATATGTTGATTTTTAGTATTTTAATCATTGGCGTTTATAATAGAAATGAAAACAATATTGAAATTATTTTTGCACTGATACCTAAGTGTGTTCTTGCTATGAAAGATAAATTCTGTATAATATTCGAAATTTAATTTAATAGGGGCGCATTGACCAAAAAATCTTTTGTGCCCAAAGGAGATACAAAACAAATAAGAATCTAATTTTCGTTTGAAAATATTAAGTTACAACGAAAGTTCCGTTCAATTTGATCGTGTATATTACAAATAAAGATAATACTTATAGAAATATTTAATCATCATTATAACTTTAATTCCTAGAATTTCATTCCATCTTCAAGACATTCTGCAAATCTTTAAGCAAGTGATAATCAAGAAGAGAAAAGGACTACTGGGGTACCCTTGCATAATATTTTGGTATTAAGATGACGAAGTTTAACGACATATATATATATATATGTATAATTTTGGGGGGGGCGTTTCACCCCAAGCAAGGCGGGAAGCCACTAGCACGCAAGGGGTTACAGAGAGTTGGAGTGAGAACAAATAGGAGTGATAGAGGAAAGGATGAAGAGAAGGATAGGGGATAGATCAGGGCATCTGGAGATGTCGATTGACATTACATTTGAATAGTTGGAGATTATGGCTATCAGGGAAACAGGAAAAGGGGAGTTAGTTCCACAGGCGAGAGGTGCGAGACATGAAGCTATTGGAGTAGAAGAGACGGCTACATTTAACAGTTTCGACAGTGAAAGCGTGAGAGCGAGATGCCAGCCTAGTAGAACGCTTAAATTCATGGAGTCTGGGAACCAGCGAAAGAAGCTAATCGGAGCAGTTACCATGAAAGTATTTGTAAAACAGACAGAGGGAGGCGACTGCACGTCTGTGAGAAAGTGACTTCAGACGAGATACCTGATCAGGGCCTATTACATTCCTTTTCCTCTCTGGATTTTATCAAGAACTTTGAGACAAACAGAAGGGGCTCCAGACCGTATATGGCAGCAATACCCCGTGCATATAAGTATTTTAAACCATTATCAAGAACTGTATGTCGTCAGTATAATAGACATCATTTTGTTGGCTACATCCTGGAATTTCTCGGAATGCTAGAATTCAAATTAATTCAGATATGTGTGTATCGTATAATTAATATTATGACTAAGACGGTTTCACAGACCTCGACTGCACTGAAAAATATATATTTATACATACTGTTTAAATCATATATAGTGAAAGTAACGAACTCAGCTAGAATTCGATAAGCTTCTTGTAAGAGTCAAAGGTCAAAATGCACCTAGATAGAAAAACTCTATTAAAACCCCAAAAAAAACTTCCATTGTAACATCGTTTGACATGTGGGACACAAATCAACAGTGCAGGACATGGTGGTATGATGGAGAGAGTGCACATTGCAGGGAGAGGGTAATTAACCAGTTTAACCAATTTACTTGTACAGATAGTTCAGTAAAAACGTAGAATTTATTGAACTCTTATTCGTCATTCTTGACAGAAGAATCGACCCATAAGCGCATATCTGAATGCATTTGATTTGCTGTAAAACAAGTAAAAATACAAGAAAATAGAAAAAGCGAACGAAAGAAAAAGCTAGATGGAAGGTGCCAATTGGAATTTATAAAATCATTATAACTTTCAGGATGTTGGTATTGAATAGTCATTTATAGACAACATAAAACTTGCGCTGAATTTTTTTCTACCCGACCCACTTCGCAAAATCATGTTTGATTATATAAACAGAGATTTTAGTGAGTGAGTCAGGCCGATAAGCTTTCAGCACCCGATCGTATCTATAGAATAATGATTAGATTTCTTTTACAGGGTATTATTATTCACGATTACGAGTCTCGTAACCCATTAGGGTCGTAAAAACAGCAGATGTACTGCAATCGTAGCAGAAGTGGTGTGTTTAGGGTAAGAAGGACTGATGGAGCCCAACCCTCTCTAGGCTGGTTTGAATCCAGTTTTTCTTTTTTAGACTGATTGCGAAGCAGTCTTTAGGGTCCAGTTTCTTCTGCTATTCACCCATAGCTAGGGTAGAAGAGATGGTTTTATACTTTTCTCAAGGGTATTTACAACAAACTCGATTATTATATAAAGTAAATTATTCTAAATCAAGAAATAAAGCAATTTTCAGTTCAGTTTGTAAATTTATAATAACAGTATGAGATCTGTAATCGCGTTTAGTGATTCAATTTTTGTATGTTTTCTTAAGTGTATGTTGAAAAAGCGGGAAATTTCATTCAAAGAGATGGAAGATGAAAACATTTCTGATTGATGTTATTATTATTATTTGATTTGACTCTTAGATATTTTGACCGGCTGATGTTGATCATATCTCAGCTCCTTCCCGCATCTTTGAGGCGCAACACTTCTCTCAGCGCATGTTGATCCATGCATTGGTGCCACCTGCACACTT